CCTGACTTGAGAGAGCTGCAGAGACTGAGCAAACCTTGAAGTCTTCAAACAATGAACCAGAAACCCTAATGTGGAAATACAAACAAAATCCTTTCTGATGACTAAATCGTTCAGCTGGGGATACTGAACCATGCTTTTCTAAAGGCCTTCAGAAACACTTGATTAGGCACCTTCTTTTTTAAAGGATTTTGTGGACAAGAAGAGAGCTCTGCTATATTATTTCTGGACTGAAATTTAGGTCCAGCTTAAGCAAATAAAACTCTGCCTGGCTTCTGCGGGATTATATTTCTGATTTTAGTTTCTAACATGGCCTGCTCTGGGATTGTCTGAGTTTTCAGTCATCTGTGATATCAGTGAAAGTTAGTTCCTGCCAAAAAATTTACTGAATGACATTTCTTCCTGTAATAAGGACTTAGGAAGCATAGAAATAGGACTAGCATGGTACAGAAAAAGGAAAGCACATCTTATGGTCTCTAGGATTATTTCTCTGCATGGCATTGTGGGAAAAACTCTTCAAGTCCCCAACGGTGCTTTGTCTTCCACAAACTGTCCAAGATGTACAATTTCTTAGGTTTTTGTTTTTGTGGTCCAAGCTTGTCAGCAGCAGGAGCTGAAACCGAGATGCTCACAATACATTTAGGAGAGCTGTCAACTCTGCCTAGGTACAGCAAAAAGGTGCTGTACCTTGGTGGAGAGATCACAGACACAGAGGGCGTTCTTGCTGTTGCTGGCATGTTGCAAAGGGTGAACTTGACTTGCGTCCAGTTTTAGTTCACGCACGGCTTGAGCAGAGCACGAGCGGGGTTGGCTGTACCCCGGCGTAGAGGTGTGCTGCGTTCTTTGCTAGTATCAGTATCCTGCTGTGCATCTCAGTTCAGCTCAGGTTGCTTCCTACTCCAGCATAGCTGCTAAATGAATTAATTTACATCAATGTCCTGTAAAATGGATAATTCCAGCATATGTCGTGTTGTATTTTACTTCCCCCCTGTAGCTTTTTAAATATTCTAATGATTTTTTAAAATGCTTACTTTTGAAACAGTTAATTAAATAAAAACATTATCTCTCAGCACTATATATTCCTGGGAGCATTTGATTACCAAGATGATATTGGCATCCAAAAGTTAACAGATCACTGTTTTTTTATACCTTTCCTCGCTTAATGTAAATCGTTGGGGGCAAGCTGGCATTTATCTACAGGCTCTCATGGGACCGGAGCAGAGCTACCAATTCGTGATACAAAGCGCCAAAAGAGGTCTCAGATCAGCGTCTGTTTTGAATTTGTCTCTCTAAAAGCACACAGGAGAGCATTCACTAAGCTGCTGGCCGTAGGAGAAGGTGCATTAGCTCTCTGAACCCTAAGGCAGTTGCAGATTTATTTAGGCTCATGGACTGTAGCTCCCCCACACTCCCACCGGCGCTCCTGGTCCCTTTGCAACGCCGATAATTTTCTAGCCACAAAGCGGTATATGTGCCTTAGAAAATATCCCATACAGGTGTGTGTAAATAAATTCAAAGTCCTGGCAGCAACATCCAAGAGCATGGAAGAGCAGAGTAATGTTTGCATGTATGTTTATTATTTTTTTGTATTCCCAATGTTGGGCCTCACTCCGAGAGGTAAACATGTTGTAACTATTGTGGACGGTTGCAAGTATCTGATACTGATATATGAGGTATAAATTCTGGAGCCATACAATAGACTGGAGAATTCATCCACTGTTACAGGGCTTGGCTGCTATAGGAAGACCTCCTGTGGGAACTCTTGGAAACCCCATATTGCCATAATTGCCTGTGAGGGCAGATGCTCCTTCTGGCTGGTTGCTGGCTCAGACATGAACTGGAACATGCTGCCTGCTGAAAGTGGAACCAGTGACAAGTCTTTCATAACGCATAACTGTGTACTTTGGCAAAAAAAATATCAGCAAGAATTTTGTTGATGGTTGACTGTGACAACTGTGCATGTCCTAATAAGCTACAGGAAAGATGTGTTATAGGCACAGAAAAGCTTTGCTGAGCACTGTTAAAATTAGATAAAATTAACAAGGTAGCTAATGTGATTACTATTTTATTAATAAACATTTAAATAATGCTGTAAGTTTGCACAAGGAGAGAGACATTGCCCTGAAGAGATTACAGTCTAAATAGTCCCTGTTTATTATAATCTAAATAGATTAGCATTAATTATACACAAAATTGGAAGATTTCTTTTGGTGTGATCTACGATTCTCATGGTTACTACCCACGTGAGCAAAGTTACCAAGTGAAGTTTTAATCTGCTTTTGCAACATTTGCTTGTAAAATCTCATTTTCTGACCAACTTGAAAAGAATACGATAATATTTTCTTTTGTGAAGAGGAAGATAGAGTTGTTCCAACTACCAGCTTTCTAGATACAGATAAAAAGTTTGGACTTTGGTCAGTGGTTTTAATTCAAGCTTGAAGTCATTATTTCCAGAACCTCCTACAAGGAGGTACGAGCATGGTGGACGTGCTCCACTGCATTCGTACTGTGTCACCCTGGGGCTGCCAGTTCTGCTTCTCATGGTGACCTCCACGGTTCAGGAATAATGAGGTGTTGCTAAAATACTTATTTTGCATGGGCAGGCAGCTCTTGGATATAAAGTGTACAAACAATTTTAGGCAGCATAGGCTTTTGGTTAGCCTCTAAAGGGAGGATTGTATGTAATCAAGAATAAGAAAAGACTCAGATCCAAGAATGCTAGTTTTTAATAACTCTATCACAACACACAGCAAGTATCCTTTTTGCCTCTTGCATTATACAGTCCCATTTATTTCAAAACACAAAGTTAAATGACTATTGGTTTTCAGATGGATTGCTAACGTATACTTTGTTCAAGTTTGGGAACCATATATTATTCTGCTAATGCTTATTGAACCTTAATACACTGGAACAGAGAGATGTTCCAGATTTATTGCAATTACTCTTACTTGAGCTGTTTGTACCCTCCTCATGTCCTTGGTTTGCTGCTCTTCACAATTAATCTGTGACCCATTTCCCTAAGGAAAACAATTGAAACATTTCATAGCATCTTATGACATTGTTTTATGTTCTTTCAAAATATTGGAGTCAGCTAGTGGTGAAAAATTTGAGGAAAAAAAATATGTAAAAGATAAACAAACTAAAGTTCCATATCCAATTTTGCAGCTGCACTCATTTGATAAATGCTACCATACAGTCTGTAGTTTCTGTGGAAAATTGTCAAACCCCTTTTGAGAAGTCGCAGAAGCTTAGCTCCTTTAGGGTCAGGCAGCGTTTGGTCTTGATGATTAAAGCAAATAAATACTATATTGATTTGCATAGTTTATATTGTTGCCTGTAAATAATAACAATGGAAAACACTTATGTCAGGTATTCAAAGAAAGTAAAGGTGAAATGAAACTTTTTATGCATGCCTCTTTGCTTCTTGTAAAACCAGTTTTCCCTTCCCGAAAGAAACACTTCGGGAGTTGCTTGGATTTTCTGTAGGCTCTAAGGCAAGATGCAAGACCTGGGTTCAGTTCCTTGCTCTCCTGCATAATTTTGGCCCCATTGCCTTGCTATCCCTTCCTCCCTTCCAGATTGCAAATGAGGGATCTGCAACAGCCTTTGGTGATAAGAGCAGGATGAAGGAATGCATGGTTCTCCGTGACTGCGAGTGTGTTAGAGAAGCTAAAACTTTAGAGAGGACGTGCATAGAGTCCTGTGTGCTCAGCCCCATGTAGCGCTGAGCTTCTGGGCCTGATCCAATATTCAAACGCATTCTTAACTGGAGCACAGGACTAATGCCATTGGTTCCAGTGAAGTTAAAAGCACGTGCCTAAGTAGTTGGCTGGATTTGGGCCAGCATTCAGTCTTTTGCTGGACGGAGCCCTAAATAAACAATCTAGTATCGGAGGAGAAAACATTTGCACATGTGGATGTGATTTGGCTGTTCCTGTGGCATTGGCTTGTTGTTTTCTAAGTTGTGCTGGCAATGGTAGGTCTGCTTAAAATGCTAACAATTTCTTGCCTGTTGTGTTAAAATTGACTGCACTCCTGGTGCACAGGCTAAAAAAGGATGGGTCTAAATCACTCACAGAGGCTGTGATGCTCAGTGCCGACAGATACGAGACACTGTACTCAGTTTGAATTCACTCTGCTTTCCTGTTTGTGCTCTTGCAAAGTGCCCAGAAATTTTCTGAGATCCGAGTTAGTGGCAGTCATCATGTTTCATTCAAAGGCTAACTCTTCAAGCACATTTTTGCAGGACAGAGCATTGTAATCAGAGATGTCATTTATATTTATTGTCTCAATACAAAATCTACAATATTATATTAGATTTCCAACAGGAAAATTGAAAAACCAAATATAGCCTTTTACTATATCTTCTATTAAAGATATTATTTGAAAAAATACTGTGTGTTTTATGAGGGTTTTCTGTAAGGAATATAAGATTGAAATCGGTGTAAATGAAGGAAAGGGAACAAAAAAAGCATTTGAATTTAAAAGATTTGCAAATATGGCTACTACACAAGTATGAAACTCTTTCAAAAATATGTCACTTAGGAGAATGTCATGAATTAGAAATGAGAAAACAAACCAGGTAATTTGGTTGGTGCTGTAAGGAGATCTATTCCTGCAGCTACTCCAGATGAGAACCCTGTTACTGTCCGCAGGCCTTTTTGGCAGGGCACTGATTTCCTTCCTTATCTCTATGTTCTGATGCTGAGAGCTGCAGAGCACCTTGAATGCCTTCTGAAGTCAACTAGAGATTATGATAAGCATCGTTTTGTAGATTTAGCCTATTAAGACTTTCACAGACTTCCATGAGAGTGGCTATAAGATTAAACCCAGAAATTTTTGCATGACAAAACACTGAGGTGAAAATCTTATGTATGAACCACCTGATATTTATCTGAATTCAGGCTACCCTTTTGTATGTGCATGCTAATCTTTACATGTAAGTGTAGCAGAATTATAGTGCACATCTCAGCTACTTTATTTGATTTTTTTCCCTCTCTCAGTCTGTAGCTTCCAATGGATCAGAAGGATCTGGACAATGTGGTGAACACAATAAGGAGAACCAGACTTTTGAAAATTATGTGGTAGACATGAAGACAAAGGTATGGTCCACTCTTTTGTGACGGAGAATGAGATCCTTATTTAGTCAAGTTTTGCTGGAGGTGAAATGTGTAGAATATATTGAATTTGAGCTCCTGCAGTAATTTTTTTTTTGCTGCTTAATGACTGCATGTACATTACCACATTCAAATGAGGCTTATGGTTGCAATTTATTGCCGTATTTTACTAGCCCTGTGCATTTTATGCTGTCCTAGGCAGGATTTATTTTTTATTTTTATGTAAAAATATTGTTAATATCGGTGATGGTTCTACAGGTTTGCTGATCTCCAGATATTTTCATTTCAGTGTATTTTTTAAGTCCAAGATGTTGCACAGTTAGTAAATTTTATTCCAGGTGTTTTCACTGTCTCAGTGTGCGTTGTAGTTTATTTTTTGTCTGGAGTCAGTATGGAAGAATATGAATGTCAGCGAAGTGATGATTTTTGTATGGGCAGTCTAAGGATACCTATCATAAAACTACGCTGAAAAATACACGAAGCAGTATGACTTCATGACTGTGGTAAGGGGGTATGTTACACTTCTCTTTGCAACAGTCTTGCTTCTTGCAATGGTGAAGTTATAAGTGTTTCATTATAATATCTCCATTATTTTCATAGGTTCACAACTTGGCTGGAACAATTTTCTTGGGCTTAGATATTATTATGTAGAGTTTCAGCCTTGAAGGCATTGTGTATTTTTTCTTTTCTAAGTGAAAGAAAATTATTAAGTTTTCTTTTAAAGTTAGCAAGCTGGAAACATGATGAAAAGAAAACAGACATTAACTGAGTTGGCATGCTTATGTGATACCTCGTAGACTTCAGCGATAGTTGTTTCTAACAGTGGAAACTTGCAGATTATTCCTCTTGTCTAAGGCTTTTCCATGGGCTTTGTTTACATTTCTAACTCAATTTCTCTGTTCGTTAACTTTTCAAGATCTAAAGAACTAATTGTTTAGCATAACTTTCTGAGTTTCTTGTGTTGCTGTGTTCCCAGTTGGTCAGATAACTTTTGTACCGTATAGGACCATGGTGCTACTTGAGAGTTGAAATACAAAACCATGTATACTCATTGAAATTTGCCCCTATATTTATGGAGGAAATTATTTCCCCAAAACAAGGAATTATCAAAAGCTTGATACATGCCCTAAATACACTGTGTCTGTGAGGATGTTGTAGAAATCATGGGATGTAGTGGATCTCAGCCCATTTTCACAACATCATTTCCAGTATGAATGCCCAGTTGAACAACATGCCGTCTTCCCTACTTGGAGTCATGATACTGTGAACTCCTGGACTCAGTGTTTCTCCATCAGCAACTCTACATACTCCCTTTTCATGCTGTTTGTAGCTCTCCAGCACAAAGCGTACATGAGAGTAAACTCCAAAAATTTGCAATTCCCTTCCCAAACTCTAAGACATTCAGAGCTGTGAGTGGTATTTTCTTCAGTTCCCAGTACCATGGGATAGCAGATAGCAAATGTTTTGTTTTCATTTCCTGGAACTTGTGGTTTAGTGTGTCAGATAATTTGAAAGAGTCATTTTGTCTGATTTCTTTTTCAAGTGACTGTGCTTGAGTGTCAGTGGCACGCTGCTATCACAGTGACACATAGCTATTTAGGACTGGCTACATGTTTAAACATATGCACCAGAGATTTTCAGTTGCTGATGATCAATTGGTTGTTAGATTTACTTCCCCGGGCAGAACGCTCAAGAATTAAAATGGACTTTTTATTCACCGTGGATCTCGAGAGCTGAGAGCCACTTCAGGACATATTGCCCTTGAGTACCGTGTGTTTCTATTGCAGAGCACCCCAGCCCACATAAAGCCAGTGGAGCATTTGTAACTGAAGCACTTCTGTTTCATTCTGAATAAGGGATTTGTGGGAAGCAAGAGAAAACAATTATGGCTTTGTATGGGAAATAATAGACGCATAAAACATTAGGCATAAGTTTTAAATTGATGAAGGTTGCAGAGCTTTCAAAAGGTTAGCTTATCCAAGGCCCTTCAGAGCTGTAGGATGGCTCAAGAACCTTTCCCCATCCTCTGTTCCACACCCTGTGATTAGGAATGTGCGTTTCCTACAACCCTACAAGTCATACTCTGTTCCCAGCTTGCCTCACCCCCTTCTCATACATCTGTAAGCTGGTGAGTTTGTGGGAATGAGACTACTAGAGAGGTTGCATGGTCTCCATCTTTGGACATTTTCAAGACCAGATTGGATAAAGGCCTGAATAACCTGATCAGACTTCACTGCTGAACCTACTTTGACCGGGAGGTTGGAGTGAAGACCTCCTCAGGTCCTTTCCATTGTCACTTATCCTGTGATCCTTTGATTACATTGACTCCTGGAGAGGAACGGAGGCAACGACCCTGCTGTCCCACTCAGCACCCTTGGAGGCAAATGACATTACACACCACCAGGTGCAGCAGCCAGGGGCCAGGTATTACAACAAGGCCCTCAGCAAACGGGGCCTGTGAAGTGCATGTTGTATATTAAAAAAACAAAAATAGCTTTTTTCTTGCTTTTGAGTGCTGGGGCAGCGCTTGGCTAAAGTGATGTAAGCTCCCACGTACTGAATAAAAGGATGGTAAGCTGGGCATGTGCTTGGGGCAGGAAGAGAGGGGATCCCCTCCACAGCTGTGAAGCAGAAAACAAACTTTTCTGTGGCTGTTGAGCCTGGGGCCACGGTGGCCACTTGGGTGTGGAGTCCTTGTGATGAATGAGTGGAGCTGCCTGTCCAGCCTTCACTTCTCCCCGCACGCATTTTACATCTAACTACAGGGCTCAGAGCAGTGAGGTCTGTGCTACCCTATGGGACAGAAAATTGTCTTTTTCTTTTCTTTGAGAAAGCTGCCAGCCAGAGAAATTGGTCAGGACTCCAACGTTGATTGTGCTAACTAGCAATGAAATTTGCCATGCACGGGAGAAGGGAATGATTCCTGATATAGCTTCTGCCTGAGACTCTCATGGGCCTGAGGCCAGTTGCAGAGCTGCTGCTGTTAGGGCTGATGCAGTCAGGAGGGGCAGAACTGCTAATCTGTTGATCTTTAAATTAACACCAGCACTCATGGGCTTCTGGTTCAATCTGGGAACTGCATTAAAATTCTTAGCAACTAAGGTATACAGAACTTCACACCTTCTGAAATTTGTATTAACTTCTTTTCCTGGCTGAAGCAGAATTTATTCTGACATTTCATCTGTAATATAGCTTCTAACTACATATCCAGGATCTGCAAGATTAGTAGTTTCTCATTTTTTGTTTTTTTTTTTTTGTGTAGCACAAACCAGCCCTAATAAAGAGGCTGTCTCATGAGATTTTCCCTTTAACACCAGCACTCATGGGCTTCTGGTTCAATCTGGGAACTGCATTAAAATTCTTAGCAACTAAGGTATACAGAACTTCACACCTTCTGAAATTTGTATTAACTTCTTTTCCTGGCTGAAGCAGAATTTATTCTGACATTTCATCTGTAATATAGCTTCTAACTACATATCCAGGATCTGCAAGATTAGTAGTTTCTAATTTTTGGGGTTTTTTTTGTGTAGCACAAACCAGCCCTAATAAAGAGGCTGTCTCATGAGATTTTCCCTTCTAGCATATAATTACTTAGCTAACTTGTATCTCGGTGTTAACCTACTAACTAACCAATTGTGATGCACAGCAACCTGGCTGGAACTGGGCTCAAGTGGTATATATGAGCTCTGACCATAAAGACTATGTAGTTCATGACTACATCAATTGGCCTCTTGGAAGAGACATAATCAGGAAAGTATTTACTCATAGCTTGTTTGCGCGCAATATAGGACCTGAAAAGAAGAAAGAGAATATAACCCCATGTGAAAGACTGGCAATTTAATACCATCAACTCCATAGTACCCAATTTAAGATACATTAGGAGTAAATAAATCTTTCTCCACATTTGTAAGAGGATGTGTGTTTATGTGTTCTCTGTGTAGGTGCATAGAGCTCTAAATAGTCACTGGCTAAATTTTGCAAGATGCTGACATTACTAATGCTATGTTAGCAGTCTGGTAGATGTCTCCTTTCTTAGTGTCTACTCCAAAACTTAGAGACCTAGTACTCTTTTTTTTCCTAACTTCTACTGTTTGAATTAGAGATAACAATGAAGCATGTTTTGCTTTTTATAAAGAATCAGTTTCTTCTTTACACTTTTTGCTCTATAACATTTGGGTTTCAAAAGAATTTAAGAACTGTTTGAAAAGGTGTGTCATGAGAGATTTTAAAAAAGCGTAGAATCCTTCCTATTGGTTTTAGGTTTTACAGAAACTTGCTTTTACAAATATTCAGTTCAGCTGGATGTTACAGGCTCTGGTTCTAAACAAAACTGCCTAATTAAGCCCTGTGCTTTGGTTATCCCAGTGGAAGTACCTGGATATAGTGAAGATTTTAGTGCCAGAAAGGAGCATTAAATTGTCCAGTCTAAACTACTGCATTATACAGACCATCACATTTCACCCACTCACCTCATATTATTTGTTTTTGTATGACTTAAAAATAGGAACCTTGGTAAAATCAGAAGAGAAGGAAGCAGTCACCTGGGTAAGTGGTTTTCACGTGGTGGTCTGCAGAGCTGCTGGTATCACAGTGGAAAACAGTTGTTATTTTTCCTGTATTAAGGCTTCCCGAGAGTCAGAGCTCATCGCAGAGAATATTTTTGACCATCTAAATCAACTATGAGCAACTATAAACCATCTCTTTTCACCCCAGATGGCTGCTTCTCAATTTGTTTGTTTTTTGGGTCAAGTCTTTCTATGGTAGGTTTCAATCATGATCGTATGTACAGATAACACGAAGGCTGGAACAGCAGAGAAAAAAATAGAACTAAGCAGCAATATGACCTGCAGAAATTAGAGCAGAAGGACATGTTGCTAATGAAGGGTAAAGCAGTGCCAAGGATTTGAAAATCTTATGCTTGGGGAGAAAAAATAAATGGAAAAAGTATCTAGTTGGAGGAAGAAAATGGAGCAGCTCAGCTTCTT